AATCCACCAAAAAGCAAACAAACCAAAAAATAACAACCATCGCCAGCCACAACAGAAATGCGTAATGAGCTGCGAAACGAGACCAGCATCAAGCATCAGACTGCTTACAAGCAGTAGCCAGTAGCCAGTAGCCAGCAGCCAGTAAGCAGTGAGCATGGTGCTGTGGGTGCTGGCGTACAGGGGGGACGACAGCAGCATCAAATTCAATTGCAAACGATTTTAGTATGCATCAAACGTTTTACAACTATTTTTCTTAACGCATTTTATTGGCGCTTGGGGGGCAGAGAGCTGCCTTAGACGATTGTGTTGTGGCCATGGGGGAGTGTTCGAGGAATGGGCACGTACTCTATTTAAAATGACACGCCTGACGACCTAATGGTGGTCAGACATACATATTTACCCTCTAATCATGGCATCCAGGGCATCGACTTGAAGGTTGGCTTGGGCACACACAAGAAAAGGAAAGGAATAAATGAAAATATCAGCTGCTAATTATATCTTTAGCGGTGGATATATTACGGAAATAAATTCAAAAAAATACTCGCAGATTGTGACTAATAAGTTTTCTTTGTATTAAGAATAAGCAGCAGTTTCAACAAAGAGAAAATATCTCTTCTAAAGCTATCTCCCAGAGGTACTTCCCATTCGATCACACGCTTCATCTTCCCAGTGGAATATTTGTTTTTGTTTGACCCCCCCATCACCATCTTCCACCATGTCCCATTGCTATTCCCTTTTTGGGGCCATTGTCATATTGAAACCGCAGTGACGAAAGCAGCCCAGTAAATCGCTTGACGACGGGTGCGAAGTCCTCTTGGGGGTGGCGGTGGCGGTGGCTGATGCTAAGCATGAGGCTGGTCCAGAAGGGAAGGGCAGACAAGGCCGTGCATGGCATTTTCTATTAAGCACAATGAAATATAGCATTGCCAGCAGCAAAACCAAAGCCACGGCTGCAGAGACGCGGTAGAGATGGGGGAAAAGAGTCCCAGAGAGTTTATATTTTCGATGCTATTTGTATTATTGTTATTGGGCAGCCAATTTGGCACCTCAGAGAGAGAGAGACAGACAGAGAGAGAGACACGCTCTGGGAATTCTAAAAATGTTTCCAAAAATAATAATAATAATATGGGAAATATTTAAAAATTGTGCCGCGCTGCCATAAATATTTGCATCAGCCACTAAAAAATTCCCTCAATGTTTGTGTGTGTGTGCGGCTGCATAACTTTAGACGGAACTGTGTCTTTATTGTGTCCTTTATGGCCCCGCCCAGGCGACGTGTTTGTCATGCCTAAACGGCCAACGGCGATCCAAATTAGGTTAAATGCAAACAAACAAAAAACCGAAACAAATTGATAATTCGTTTTCTTTGCGCTTCCCCTTTTCCCCCTTCTGGATGCAGAAGCAGAGGGAACGAAGGGAACATTAGCTAAATGAAATACACAATATGAAATTCATAGCTTTGTTATCCCTTAGTGGACTGCTCAAAATACTCGTTTTCTTTAAGGGTTTATGGGGGGTGGGGAGGGTATGCGAGTCTTGCTGTGGCCAGTTGTCGCCAAGTGTCAGTGTCGGCGCTGCACTTGAAGCGATTTTATGCCAGTGCACTATGGGGAAAATTCCCATTTTTCGGGTATTTAGTCATTTTCTCAAAGTATTAAAATTGGTTGTTTTTTTTTGGTAACATATTAAGAAAACTTCAAACTGTAAAGTCCAATACCAAAAATGTTATATAACATAGCACTGTTAAGTCTAACAGCTGTTAAAGTCAGCTGTTGCTGTAGAAAAGCACTTGCTTTAAGATTGCAATATTTTTGCAGCCTATTTTCAAAATGCCAATATTCAAACGCGAAACATTCTTTTTGTGAAATTTAAAAAGGATAGCAATTACACGGGTTTTAACTTTGTAATGGTTGTACTAATACTTTGTAGTTGTGCGTGTTCTATTAATATTTTGTAAAAGTAGGAAACGTTCTCAAAGCACATTTCTTGGAAATATATTTCAAGTTCGTGGAGACATATAAAAAAAGTATTAGAGTTGACAGGTGCGTCCAATTGTATGTCGTAGAGCTAATAATTTTGATTTAAAGGCAGTTTGTCTAAATGCACACTTTTGCGCACTATCTGCGCAAATTAATTTTTTGCAGCGGACTTCGAGTTTGCAAAAGAGCTGCTGTTTGATGTATGGCGCAAGGAAAAAGGCAAATGCAATCAAGAAAATGCGATTCTGGATTTTTTTAAGAAGAGATTTAATAAAAACATTCATGTTTTAAAACATGTGCTATATTTAAAGAGTAAAAGTCAAATTGTGTGCCGAAACTTGAATGCCAAATGGAAAAAATGCATGCGGAACAAAAAATATTTTGAAAAAATCATTAAAATTGGTTAATGAGCACAACAAAATTATACAAAAGCGACTCAAATAGGAACCATAATCGACAAATTGGTCATCCAAAGTTGGCTTACTTGTTAAAGGGGGTAGGAGCTAAAAAAACAAGCAGCAGCTCTATCAAAAACTCAAGGCAATGTCTCTTTGTTGATTCAAGCAGCAAGCATAAAGGCCTTGCCCTTCCCATCGATTTTTAAATCCTTTTATTATGTGAAATTGAAGGCCCATATCAAACTTTTGAGGATTTCGAAGATGAATTAAGAAAAAACTAAGAAAATTTCTATTAATATTAACTATTGTTCCTTTAGCTCCTGAATTTCATAAAAATGAAGTTTTTCCAAAAGTAAAACTTTATTTTTATGTATAAAGGATATTATAGTCAATAAATATTAATCAAAATATTCCAATTTTTAATATTATAAAAAAAAAAATTATTTTTTTTTAATTGTGGGCGGTAACACGCCTACTTTTTCCAAAAATGTTTCTAGGGGTGTACATAACATTAATCAAAAAACCGCATCGAAAAATCTTGCTTAGTTTAAAAGTTATTAATTAATACCCGAAAAATTGGAATTTTCCCCATAGTGCAGTGTAAGCAATGAAAGCAGTACCGGAAGAAGCTCAGATGTTAAGCAGTCAAGTCGGGAGGATGCAATGGTAAGGCAGTGCAGCCAGACTATGACGAACCGTGTATCCATAAGCGGAAAACTCTGTAAAGTTAGACTATATTTTGTGAATCGAAAAAAAAACAAAAATAAAGTTGTTGGAAAAACTGAATCAGATTTTTTAAATTAGTATTTATAACTAGTATGAAACCCCTGGGTTGCACAGTATAGGTGGCAACTATGCTCCCACAAGTGCACTACGGTGCCAGGCGGTCCAGCCCAGACCCAGACCCAGGACCAGGAGCAGAGACCCCACCCTCAGACCTCGAACCAGACCCCGAACCGGCAGACGGGCAGACTCACAAAAACAAGTGAACAAAATAATTTTGCTTAATTCAATGCAGCAAAGGAATGACACCCAGTCGTGGCGGGCGTGTGGCAGGTGGAGTTCCACAGGCAGAGGCAGAGACAGAGACAGAGGCGCCGCGGCGGCGCTGCCTTCCTGTGACGCAATTAGTGCAACATTGTTGACATTGTTTTTTCTTTGGCCTCCGTATTTTTTGTGCTCCCTTTGAGCTTTTAGCTATGTAAGCGGATGGCATGGAGCGGCATGGCGTGGCATGGAGCGAGGGTAGGTGGGGCTGGGGTGTGTGGAAAGTATGCTTCATGATGTTGTGCATGCAACATGCCAATGCCACAAGTCAAAGGGCAAGTTTAAGCCGAAACAGTCGCGAACTTTAAAGTGGTTTCGGTTTCTTCTTAATTTTGTAGCCCTTTTTTTTTGTTTTGTTTTTTTTTTTTTGTATTTTGCATCCACAGAGATGGGAATGAGACAGGTTAAGTGTGTTCCGTTCCATTCCCGCACATTCTCTTCCGTTTTCAATGCTTCCCCGCTTGCTCTTTCCTGTTGCATTCCCATCATCACTGGGACGCTTTAATTTCTGGCTTCTCTCTTACCATTTCCCTTCTTGTTTTTATTTTTTTTTGCCTATTTTTTTTTTTTTGAGAGCTAAGAGCGCTTAGCTGATGAAGGCATTGTGTATGGATAGACCAGAGCTCCAGACCCCATTCCATTTCCAGCCATTTTCCCCAACCAATCCCATCTATTCCCCCTTCCCATTCCCCATTCCCGGCAAGTCAATTCCACTTTAAGAGCAAATCACGCGTGAAATGAGCGAAAGCTTTAAAATTTGAATTTCTTGTTACTTTTTCAGCTTCCTTTCTCCTCTCCTCTGCTCTCCTCTCTGCCATTCGCTGCTTGTACTGTTATTCATGCATACGGAAAAAGTGGCAGCTGGAAAAAGCATTGAGTTTTCCCGCCAGGAGAAGCGAAGGGGTGGGCAGGGAAGGGCCAGCTGCAGGGCTAGAAAGCAATCAGAAACAACAAAAGAACAGGCCAAAAACTTCTAACAAAATTCGCTCGAGTGACTGGAACGGGTAAGAAAAAGGTTAAAGTTTTTGAAATTTCCATATGAAATGGCTCTAGCGGGAACATCCGAAACATATAGAAAAACAAAACGAGAATAATGTCTATCGAAAACAAATCAATCACCCAAACTTCCTGTGTCTCCCCTGAAGCAATTGACAATATTTGAGTAGACCAACAAACAAATACTTACCATATAGAAACCATATGTCTGCCAGAGATTCGCCTCAGGGCTGTTTTCCCTTTGTTGGATCAAAAGTATTTGGCCTTAGCGGGTCTTTGCGGGTGTCTGGTCATCGAATTATAACTGCTTGACTACTGCTTACATATGTTTTGGTCACTCAAAACAACTCTACGCTGCAACTCTACGCTTCAACTCTACGCTGCAACTCTACGCGTGTTTCTTTCACAGGTCCAAGTAGGCAGCCCCAGTGAATGCGTTAACTTCGTTGTCTTAATCGTGAGGAAATTTTCAGTCGTCTCGGAGCATTCACACACCACACAACTCGTGCCACAAAAAAAGCTAAAGCGGAGCAAAAATTAGAAAATGAAAAGAAAAAAAGAAAATTAAAAAATTGTGCAATATTTGACAGTTTTCAAAATTAACAAAAAAAAACCAAAAGTGAAAAGTGAAACGCTACAAAAAGAAGTAACAAAAGCCACAGCTCGTAGTCGTAGCTGCAGTTGCAGTTATGGATGCCAACTAAATGCAGCCAGTAAAGGGCCAACAAGACTCCCAACAATCCAACGTGGGCAGCACCTAGCTGCAGCAAACCAAAGGAGCAGCTCTGCCGCCCCTCGCTGGCGGCTAAGCAGGCAGTCGTGGAACTCCTGGACGGGTCGCGCGGGTGACCCTCTACTATGAGGTGGAGTTCAGTCGCAAGTAGCTGGGGAGGAAACGTTCGCAGGCTGTCGGGGAGCGTGGAATGTTTGGGCCATGCGAGAGTGCCGGTATTGAGTTTCATGCCACTCCGGGGCGAGCCCACACTACAGATCCCCAGGCGCAGAAGTGAGGGTAGCCGTCTCTTATGGCAGTCCATTGCAGTACGAAGTGGAAGTCAAGGAGGACTCGCACTCGAAGATCGGCCTTGGGCCCCTTCGCAACTCGTGCGGGTCTGAGCCCGGTAAGTCCCATCGCCTGGGCAATGACAACGGTGTTTTGATTGGCCCATTCACAGGGTTCTTGCCTTCGCGGCATTCAGTCTTCCTGAAGGGCCTCGCAATCTCCCATTGCTGCCAGGTGGAACAGTATTGGGACAAATACAAGGAACACGGATCTACGTAAAGTAAAGGTTTGCTCTCCACTTTGATCTTTAAATAACGAAGCCCTCCCTCCCTCCAGTAGATCTCGCACTGCTCTGCCCCCTCGATGGACTAGCGACTGTTGCTTGGAGCACTCGATGGGGTGAGTCCAGGATCGTAAGTGGTATCTAGATCCAAGCTAATCCCCACCCCCTTCCAGGCAACGGTCTGCACCCACAAGCAGAACTTCGGATATCTTGCTATCAGATGGAGCGACGATCCAGGAGAAGAGCCTCGTGGGGGAAGACGGGAAGACAGGGGCCGCAGTGCGAAGGGGCTTGAGTTCGTAGGACTCGACTGTCGTCACTTCTCCGACTTGAGATCTGTGGTTGAGTTTCTCCACGGAGTGGCGCGAAGCTCCTGCCCCGACAATCCCATCGCCCGCCCAAATACGCTGCTCCCAACTCCTCGACATCCCGCTGACGTTTCATCCTCAACTACTCCGATCGAATTCCATCGCATAGAAGTGGCTCACTCGCGTCTGAGCAGGGTTCCTCGGATGACTGCTTCAAGGCTGGGAAGTGCTGGAAAGTGGCTGCAGAGTTGCTCCTTTGGGCTGTTGCTGCTGCCCCCCCTCCACGTTGCCCACAGTGGTCTTAGGAATCTTTCTGATCCTGAATTGGCTGCGATTGGTTAGCCTCCATAAGCGTGGACTCGCCTAAGCCTGTGGGCTTTTGTTGCTTCAAATACAAATGCAATCAAAAATAAAATGTGAATACGTTTAATCAGGTATATTTATGCAGCTTTTTGGACCACCAAAGAATAGCGTGGCGTAGGATACTGTTGGGCCTGTTCCTGTGCCTGGGTTGCTGCTGCATCATCGCCATCCTTCATCTTGTTGAGGTTTTTTGCCTGTGAAAAATTCACTAGAGATTATTGGAATGATTTCTAACGGGTAAGTTGTATTTACTTAAGCTTACATATGTACATATATGTAATACATTCTGTAGAATGGAGGTCATATAACACACATTACGTATACGTATACGTATTTTTTTGCTATTTGCCTATGTCTTGTGTTGCTGCGTGTTTCACTCCTTTTCACTTTCTCGTCCATTTGGTCTTCCTTCGCTGCCATCTGCCATCTATCTGTGCCTTCTTTGCTCTCTTTGTGGGTCTGTTCCGTCATCCTACGTCATTGGGTGGGAGGGAGCCGCAAAGCAATTTCAATTAGGAACTTTGGAATTCAGATATGAAATTAAAATGATTCGCACACAGCTGTGCACCTCCGCCTCGACAGCCAACTCGACCCACATGTGTCACCCCATTGAAGGGGCACGACAGTGGGTGGGATTGGTCATTCCACTCTCTCTCTCTCTTTCTCTCTCTCTCGATCTCTGGCACTGTGGACAAAAGGCAGCGCCCCCAACGAAACTGTCATCGAAACTGACAACAAACCAAATAGGAGAAGTGGGAGAACAGAAACAGAGATGCAGATGGGGATAGAGAGCGGGAGAGAGAGGGAGAACCGGAAATTATGCAAAAAAGTAGAAGTGCCGAATGGGGGAAGGGGAGCCACAAAGTGTCACACAAAAAAATATATTGTATATGTATATTTATTTACAAAAAGAAGCCTCGAAGACTGAGCCTTTGGTGTTTGGGTGTCCGGGGAATTTTATACCCTGGCAAATGGTTGGCGCATAATTCTTCAGATAGATATATCTACAGAAGCAGATATATTTGGGACATACTACTCCCATGGTAGCTCTACTTCGAAGGCTAGAAACTAACAGAAATAATCTACAATGGAACAAATTCTAATTTACGAGCATGAACATCCCCTTTGATGCTGATGTTGGGGCATCTGTTGAACAGCTCGTGGAGCAGGAGTTAATACTTTCGCAAGGGTATTCAAATACATACATATATGTATGTACATATGTACAAATGTATGTATATTCGTTTCTTATTTTTTTTTTTCGAGTTGTTGCAACTTTTTTACGCCCTAAGACCCCCCTCACCACCAGCCACCAGCCTCACCACCGTTGACCAACTTTGGCAATTCCATTTCCACAATCATGCGTTGAACTTTGAACTCCCAGCTTGTTCTGCTCGCATGTGTGCCCGTCGTCTGCCACCTCTCTCGTATTTCCATTCCCCACTCCCCACTCCCCACACCACCTCACGCTGTGTGTGTGTGTGTGAATTTTGGAAAACTGCTTTTCAAAATATGCCAGCAGACAAATGCTGGTAAAAGTTTTCATTCATTCATCGCCTCCCTTCCGTCCAGATTCTGTTTTGTCATCGCTTTTCCCATCCATGCTGGGGGTCCCAGTTGTGGATTGAGCCCCAACAGTCAACGTCAAACCTTCCCCCTGGCCGCCCCCACTCCCACTCCCACTCCAGCCCAATGGAATTTTGGCGTTTTTAGTTGCGGCCATTGAATGTTCAAAAATTATTGTAAACTTTTCAGACACACACACACACACACACACACACATGAATAGGGCGGGGTGGGGCGGGGGAAGAGAGGAAGTTCCAGTTGCAGTACTAGTTGGGAAATCAATTAAAAACGCTTGTTGGTTGCCCCACAACTTTCCCTTTCGATTGGGTCGAGTGCCCTCTCCGCACTGGTCAAGGCTTTGCCTCCCAGGACTCCACTCGTTTCGTGCTTGCCAGTGGATAATTTGGGGCATCTCTGGGGCATCGCCAACACCAGCACAAGTTGGTGGCAGTAGAAGAATGGATAGATTACAGCTGCACTCTTTAATTAATACTTGGAAATTAATTAACATCCCATCCCATCGTTCAAGGGCTGCATAAATATACCTGATTAAACGCATTCACATTTTATTTTTGATTGCATTTGTATTTGAAGCAACAAAAGCCCACAGGCTTAGGCGAGTCCACGCTTATGGAAGCTAACCAATCGCAGCCAATTCAGGATCAGAAAGATTCCCAACACCACTGTGGGCAACGTGGAGGGGGGGCAGCAGCAACGGCCCAAAGGAGCAACTCTGCAGCCACTTCCCAGCACTTCCCAGCGTTGAAGCAGTCATCCGAGGAACCCTGCTCAGACGCGAGTGAGCATGGAATGCGATGGAATTCGATCGGAGTAGTTGAGGATGAAACGTCAGCGGGATGTCGAGGAGTTGGGAGCAGCGTATTTGGGCGGGCGATGGGATTGTCGGGGCAGGAGCTTCGCGCCACTCCGTGGAGAAACTCAAACACAGATCTCAAGTCGGAGAAGTGACGACAGCCGAGTCCTACGAACTCAAGCCCCTTCGCACTGCGGCCCCTGTCTTCCCGTCTTCTTGTCTTCCGACAACATGGCAGAGCGCTCCCTTCAATGGGCAGCAAAAAAGATTACCGATCGAGGGGGCAGAGCAGTGCGAGATCTACTGGAGGGAGGAAGGTCTTCGTTATTAAAAGATCAAAGTGGAGAGCAAACCTTTATTTTACGTAGATCCGAGTTCCTTGTACTTGTCCCAATACTGTTCCACCTGGCAGCAATGGGAGATTGCGAGGCCCTTCAGGAAGACTGAATGCCGCGAAGGCAAGAACCCTGTGAATGGGCCAATCAAAACACCGTTGCCATTGGTCAGTTCATGGGACTTACCGGGCTCAGACCCGCACGAGTTGCGAAGGGTCTCAAGGCTGATCTTCGAGTCCGAGTCCGAGTCCTCCTTGAGTTCCACTTCGTAGACGGCTACCCTCACTTCTGCGCCTGGGGATCTGTGGTGTGGGCTCGCCCCGGAGTGGCATGAAACTCAATACCGGCACTCTCGCATGGCCCAAATATTCCACGCTCCCCGACAGCCTGCGCACGTTTCCTCCCCAGCTACTTGCGACTGAACTCCACCTCATAGTAGAGGGTCACCCGCGTGACCCGTCCAGGAGTTCCACGACTGCCTGCTTAGCCGCCAGCGAGGGGCGGCAGAGCTGCTCCTTTGGTTTGTTGCAGCTAGGTGCTGCCCACGTTGGATTGTTGGGAGTCTTCTTGGCCCTTTACTGGCTGCATTTAGTTGGCATCCATAGCTGCAGCTGCAACTGCAACTGCACCTCTGGCACCGAGCTGTGGCTTTTGTTACTTCTTTTTGTAGCGTTTCACTTTTCACTTTTGGTTTTTTTCTTTTAATTTTGAAAACTGTCAAATATTGCACAATTTTTTAATTTTCTTTTTTTTCTTTTCATTTTCTAATTTTTGCTCCGCTTTAGCTTTTTTTGTGGCACGAGTTGTGTGGTGTGTGAATGCCCAGAGACGACTGGCAATTTCCTCACGATTAATGCAACGAAGTTAACGCATTCACTGGGGCTGCCTACTTTGACCTGTGAAAGAAACACGCGGAGAGTCGAATTTTGTTTTGCATTCCAACATCTAGTCAGCTGAGTCACCTTGGTAGAAATTGCAGGCTTCGATAAACGAGCAGCAGAAGACACGCCGCACGTCGGTGGTCACCAGCAAGCAGTCAAAGCAGTCGGTAAAGTAGTCGCAACGTACTTTGTGCGCTGCTTTATTGCAAGCATACGCGGGAATGCCAGCGCCAGCTCGTGGTTGCCGTGATTCTCTCTGTGTTGGGAAAAGTATAAAATAATATGTCAAAAGCTACAAGCAATTTAATTTAATTTCAATTAAAGAAAAGGCAAAAGCAATCCATTACACTCGCTGCTCTCCAACTTTGACCCAAACCCCACTCAGATCTTTGTGTGACCGACAATACAATTTCACTCTTTTCCCTTGGAGTGTTCTGCTAGCCACTTTCTTAAACCTCTTATTAGACTCTTCTGCTCTTCTTTTACTTTCGTATTCCTCGGTACACTCTTCCACTAATTCCCCTTGTCAAATCTGTTGGTCTTCTTCCTTCCCTTCCCTTCCCTTCCCTTTCCCATTCCGTCAATCGTCAATCGTCAGGCGACTCTCGACCTTTGCTCCTGGTCAGCAGCAGCAGCAGCCACTAGACATGTTCGAACGGAATACCTCAAAAATCTCTCAACCGGCAATCAGTGAGTGTGTCTCCCTTTGCCTCTCCCTCTCGCTCTCTCTCGCTCTCCGTGCCATCAAGCAGCAATCAACATAAAACAAAGACGAAGATGGCTGGCTGATGGCAAACGGCAGTGGAGGTGGGTGGGTCTGCGGGGCAAGTGTATAAAAATTAAGCTCAATTACCAGAAATTTACAACATCAATAAAATAAGTGAAGAGTGCTCAACACTCGCATACACATAGACGAGGCAGGCAGCAGTAAAGCACCGGCGGAACAGAAGAACAAGCAGCAGCAGCAGCAGCCCAGCAGCAACAACAGAGCGTGCACGTGTGAGCGGGTGTGGGTGTGGGGTGGTGTGGAGGCGCTGCTCAAAATCACCAAGCCAGAGAGCCAGAGAGCTAGAGAGAGAGAGAGAGCGGGAACGTGGCAAACCCATCACCGGATGCTGACATATTGGAACACGTACCGACAACATGCTACACCAAAATTATAGTCACTTCCTTGATTTTGATTTCAAGTACTAGTACTGGGCATGGATGGGGTGAGGGGCTGTAGTTGAGCTGGGTCCTTGTCCGCCGCACCCAGCCCCCACAGCCAGCACACCATCAAGCGTACCAATCACCGCACCGTACCCCCACCCTTACCCAACACTGCCAGCACACACACACACACACACACACACACACACATACTCGTAAGTGTTGCAAAATATGTTGACTCAACTCATAACAAGCGAGAAACTCAACGAGAAACTGAGAACATGGATGGGTGGAGGGTAACCACCCACAAAAAAAAATAATACAACAAAATAAAAGAGAGCGAGAGAGGGAGAGAGAGGGGAAAGAGAGGGTCCTGTGTGTGTGGGTGTGGGTGGAAGGGCGGAAGGGTGGAAGGGGAGGGGTGTAGCCAACGAGCATCAGTTGAGGATTTCCTAATGAGTGCTTCATGAATGAATTTCAGCCACAGAATACTAATTCGATGGAAAATTCATTTTTCCACACGATTGGCAATTAAAAGAGATTTTCTCCCCCCCACACACACACACACACACACAGAGAGAGAGAGGGAGAAAGTGTGGCTGTGCGCTGTGGGCTGTGGGTGGGGGTGGGGGAGGGTAGCTTTGTATAGTCATTGAGTGAATTGACAGGCGAACGAAGCGAACCAAACCAAACCAAACCAAACCGAACCAAGCGGACTCTGAACAAGGCCAGAACTCCAACCAGTTTGGGAGTTTTTACACTGGAGTCTGGGGTCTGCCTCTCGGGCTTCTTGTGGTGCTGTGGGAGTTGGCTGTTTCTTGGCTTTTGGGGTGTGGGCGGCTGCAGTTTCTGCTGCTTAAGTACTTCCCAAACGAGCAAGCAGTTGGATTGGCTGAATAACAGAAAAATACAATTTTTATATCAAATTAATCACAGCAAAAGCACAGAAGTAGAAGCAGAGTGGAAGCTCCATGGCATAGAATTCTTATGGATTATGCAGGGCTCTCCCACTGAAGGCTTCCCAACTAGAGATCTGCAACTACGGTCCAAAGGGGGTTGATGTCACAAGCCATTCGAGCTGTAAACTGAATTCTGCCACACAGTATTAACCTCGTTAGTCAATTGATTAGTCAATTGATTGGCTTTACTTTTGGCTTAGAGCAGCAGCAGCCTGCAACATGCCGCAGTGTAGCTGCCGTTTGGTTTGGCCAGTACTCCAGGCATTGGCTTGTATCTGTCTGTCTATCTACACCCCTCTTGCTCCATTTCCCACTCTCTCTCTCTCTCTCTCTGCTGTGTGTGTGTGTGTGTGTGCGTTTGTGACTTATGCTGTGCCCCAAAAGCCAACTTGTCAATGTGTGACGGCAGTGATGCAAGCAACCGACAAGCGTTGACGTATTTGACAAACACACGGACAGCGCATTCACATGTCCGATCCATGGGCTGGAGGAATGGGTACAGTGAGAGGAGGAGGAGAAGAAGCAGCAGAAGTGAGCGAGATGGAGTGATAGATGGAGGAGTGATGGGGTGAAAGGGTATTTGTCACCTCGTGGCAGTGCCAGTGGCGAGTGGCAGTGGCGGTGGCAGTGGCAGTGGACTCTGCAAAGGACCTCTGACTGACGGACGACCCAGACGAACCAGGGCTAATTACTTTAATTGGTTGTAACTCCCGTTAAAGTGCCACTGCCACAGCACCTATACAAATTGAAATTGCAACACTCTGTGCATGTGTGTGTGGGGTGTGGGTGTAGTGGTAGCAGCGGATTGAATGTGATTTTGGTATTGCTGTGGGGGGTGGCAATCAGACCTGCGGGACACGAACCATTTGGAAACAGAAAAACTTTTTGTTCTGTTGCAAAATCTAATAATGCACAGCCACCACCACCGCCCCCCCCCTACCCCAATGACAAGCAACTACTTAAAAAGTGCACGACAATCGCATAAAAACAATAAATTGCACAAAGCGGCAATCGGTCCACTCGGCACTCCCTTTCAATTTGAGTTAAATAAAATGCAACCCCCCGAAAGAGACAGAGAAATAGATAGGAACAGGGACAGCAACAGCAACGGCGACAGCGACAGAACCGCAACTATAATAAAGAAGTTTTCTTGGTCTACCCCCGGAACCCTTGCCCCTGGGCCCAATCGTCTGAGCAGCCAGCCGTTGGCCCCCTGTTCCCACCCCCCCCCACGATACTTGCTACTTATTGCATAAAACACAATTTGACAGCTGCAACCAACGGAAAAGGGCAAAGGAAAATCAGAGGGAAACACACAAAGATAGTTTTCATTTTGGGTCCGAAGCTCTCATTTACCCTTATACATAGATCAATCCGATATATAAAATCTTAATATATATTTTTGGATATATAATTATAGTGCTCATAAGTACTTTTCTTTAGCAGCGATTGTTCAGATATTTAATAGCTATATTGTATGGTGATAAGATCTTGATTAACTTTAACTGAATTATCCTTGGGTCCCTTCTGTGCATAAAATCATAATACCCTTCAAAAAGTGTAGGGCAGAAAAAGGGAAGGACAAAAAAAAATAAGGGGAAAACAAAGAAAGAAAAACAGAAAATTGTGGCATAGCGCATTAACTGAAATCGATACAAAACAGCCGCATCAATGATTTTCCACTTACCACACGAAACGCGAAGCATTCAGTTGCAGCGGAAATGCACTGCGAGAAATAGAAATAATTCGAAAGGTAACAATAAAATTAATGGGCAACCAATTTGAATGCGGCAATGAGCACACAAAACTCTAGTAATCCAATCACAAATGGAACTAAAAATGAAAGATTCCAAAGTCGGAAAGTAAGTCAAACAACATAAAAGTCAAAGTCAAAAATATAACCAAAAAATAAGCAAATCGAAGACGTAGATCCATCCAAAATTTAAACTAAAACTGTAACTGCAGGACGCCCTATAATCTCACCACCCGACTAAGCTCTAATAGAATAGAGATTGGAATAGAAATTTCTTCAATTTTCCCTTAGAATGCATGATATTTAAATATATATTTTTTACATCTCACAAAAATCAACAATTAATTATATATTTTCCCCCAGTGTTCCCGCACAAAGTTCATTACCAGCTCAAAAAATATTTCTGAGCATTATGCACTCGGAAAGGCAGATAGAAGGGCAGTCGTCATTACTGTTGTCTTGCTCATCTACTAAAATAAATCACTTAGAACGGCAGACAGATGGAGTTTGGGAGAGTCGCCAAAATGCAGGAAAGTCCTTGAAATAAACCCGGGAGAGTACCCAACCAGAGTTCTAGCCCGACCCGACCCGACCCGACCCGAACTCTGGCATAGTCTCAAGAAAACTGCAAGCGGAAATAACTTAACTCAATTACGCTTAATTATTTCCTACTTCGAAAGGAATTTCTTTTGCACTGTCCGTCCGCTGCGTCCATATGTCTGCATGTCCTTGTGTCCTTTGGCCTGTCCGCCTGCTCACAGACAATAAAAGTTTCCTTTCATTTCGTTTCGTTTCGTTTAGGTTTTCGTATGTTACAAGATTGTGGCATCACCACCACCATCCACCCATCCAAAAAAAATAAAGGAAGCAGGCAACTTCTGGACCCGGACAAGGCCTCCACTCGCACACATGTGACCCCGCCGCATATGGTGATGCCGGGCAGGGACGGCACGGGACGGAGGTGTCATAGGGGGGTTGGAGAAATCCCACTTCTGATGATTATTATTCACTTGGGCATTTTTACGAGCTGCTTTAGACAAAAAGTTCGCCTCGCCCCGGAGCCTGGCCCTGGCCCAGGCCCAAACTATGCCAACTCCTCCCGAGGGAACTGGGGGGTATGGACTGGATGTCCTGACGCTGCTGTATCTGCTGTTCCTGCTGGAAAGCAATGCCTGCAATGAGGCCTGTGTATACCATTTAAAAGGAGTATTTTTGGGTATATTCAAGGGCATCATCCGCACAGGCATTAGCCACACATTTCATTAGAAGAATCATTCGTAATCGTTCGTTCAAGCTCTACATTATGGTAGCTATGGAAGCTCTATCCATCGAATCCATTGTAGAGCTCTATATCGTTGCTTTTCCAAGGGTATTTTCAACTTCCAGCTCATCCAA